CGGCGCGTGCTGGGGGCGGGGCCGCGGGAGGGAGCGCGGCATGGAGCCCGCGGGGCTGCGGGAGCTGGCGTGCGGCGCTCTGGGCCTGCGCCTAGGAGGGCGGGGAAGGCACGAAGACCCTGCGTTTGCTTTTCCCACCAGGCGGTGGTTCCAGGCAGAGTCTGTGCCGCCTTTGCCCAGCCAAGGTCACAGGGGAAGCGACAAGTTCAGGGCGGGCCCTGGCTGCTGAACTCTGGGAATCTTTTCACTGCCCCGCGTGCGCCACCTGTTAGCGTAGGAGAGTATTTCCTCTGGGGCAGTCCCAAGACTCAGGCCCCGCGGGGCGTAGAAGAGACTTCTCTTCTGTACACTGACTTCCCCCAGACCCCAGTTGTCTCTTCTGTGAAATGAAGGGGATCGAGCAAGCCGTCATATTTGTTGCCTAGCTTCCGCTTAGTTTGAGATTGCCAGTGGGCCTTGGCGAGGTCCAACGTAGAAGAGACTTCTCTTCTGTACAGTGACTTCCCCCAGACCCCAGTTGTCTCTTCTGTGAAATGAAGGGGATCGAGCAAGCTGTCATATTTGTTGCCTAGCTTCCGCTTAGTTTGAGATTGCCAGTGGGCCTTGGCGAGGTCCAGGTCTTCAGCCCTAACCTGCCTTTTCTTGAGATTCCCAGATTGAGCCTGATCAAGATGACAACCTCCCAAAAGCACCGAGACTTCGTGGCAGAGCCCATGGGGGAAAAGCCAGTGGGGAGCCTGGCCGGGATTGGTGAAGTCCTGGGCAAGAAGCTGGAGGAAAGGGGCTTTGACAAGGTGTGGGGTGGCTGCGTGTACTGAGGAGGGCTGGGGATGGGAGACTACAGATTGGGAGTGAGGAAAAGTAAGCCTGTTTGTTGTGGGGTGGAGAGTGGTGTATAATCTGAGGAGGCAGCTAGAGCCTGGCCACTTGTAGGAAATGAGGTGGGGACAGAAGCTGCCCTGCCTCCCAGGCTTGTGTGCTTTGAATGCCACAGAAGTGGCTACCTTGCTCTTAGCCCCCGCAGAGCACTTAGTAGTATGCCCTTTGTTTTGCAGGCCTATGTGGTCCTTGGCCAGTTTCTGGTGCTAAAGAAAGATGAAGACCTCTTCCGGGAATGGCTGAAGGACACATGTGGCGCTAATGCCAAGCAGTCCCGGGACTGCTTTGGGTGCCTCCGAGAATGGTGTGATGCCTTCTTGTGATGCTGTCTGGGGTGCCGTCAATCCCCAGCCCCAGCATTGAGTCTTCTGAGTTTGCAGTTGAGTGGGGACTCCTTCCCTGTCCTCTACAAAGGAAAAGATTGCTGTTGTTGTACTCACCTTCTACGTACTCCAGGGTCTTTTGGGAGTTCTCTCCCATTGCCATTTCAACTTTTTTGGAATTCTCACTCTTGCATGCATCTCCCTTCCTTCTCCTTACCCTGCCAGTTCTTGGTGACAATTACCAGCTTTCCTGAGTGGATTCCTGGCCCTTCCTTCACCCCCATCCTCATCTCTGGTCTGTTTGGTGCCATTTGGCTCCTTTTTGGCAGAACAGTCGTCCTTGTAAAGTTTTTTAGATTAATAAAGTCAGTGGCCTTCATGACTGACTGGGCTTGTGTTGAAAAGCAAGTGGGCTGGAAGTTGCCACTTCCCCAGGGGCTGACCAGGTCTGGCGCAGTGCTTATCAGTACAGACCGAAACTAGCAGCTTCCCTTCCCGCTCCTGTAGGGCAGCCACCCTAGCCCCGTGGGCCTTGGGCAGATGCCTTGCAGTGTCTCAATCCCTGAGTAATGTGGGAGAGAATGTGGGTTGATCTCTCCCTGGGAACCAAATGGCTATGGTGTTCCAGAAGTCTCTCAAGTCAACAGCTGGGCAATGCTGCACCTGGTGGAAAAGTCAGTGGGAGTCAGAGGTACCAGGAAGAGGGTGGACCGGAACTGGGTAAGAGTTCACCTGTCAGTTACGACTTCATCTGCTCTCCTGGCCTCTGGAAGGGGTGGGCAAGGCTCTTGCCATTTGCCCTGCTCTCTTTTATTCAGTACATTTTAGTCTTGTTCTTTCCTGAGCATTTAATATGAACTAGCCCTGAAGCTAAGATCTTTGCAAATGTATTTTTCTTCCACTATAATAGTCATTGTTTTTTCTTTTACAGGTGTAGAAACTTGGGACTCAGAGAGACTAAGTATTTTCCCTTTAGACTTGCTGTTGGGAAGTAGCCAGACTAGAACTTAAACTGTAACTTGGAAATACCTGGGAGCCCATGTTCCAGGGTTATGTCACTCAGTCGCTCTGAGCCCCAGTTTCCCCACTTGGAAAATGAGGTTGTTGTAGGGACCAGATGAAAGGAGTGACTTATAGTATAAACAAGACAGAATTTTCCTCATAAGGTTTACTGTCTGGTGAAGTAAGAGTGACAAATACTAAAACCCAAATACAAAAATTGGTATAAGAGAAGATTTCCATGATCTCAGGGTAGAGAAAAAATAAGAAGAGAAAATCATCAAATTATTAATATTACAAATTTCTCTTCGTCTAAAGATACCATAAAGAGAATGAAGTGACAAACCCAGAGTGGGAAAGTATATTTGCAACAATATAAACAAAGAACTATATTCGGAGCACACAGAAGTGCAGTCAGGAAAAAAAGCAGAGGACATGATAGAAAAATGGGTAAAAGACCTGAAAGGCCATCCCCAAAGAAGGTAGCCTAAAAGTTGACAAGCATTGAAAAGGTGCTCAACTTCAGTAGTCAGAAATGCAAGTACCATTAACACCCACCCATTGGCAAAAATTGTTAAAGTTGAACACTACCCGGTGTTGATGAGCACATGGAGCAACAGGAACTGATAACCAGGTGGTGGGAGGGTAAATTGGTATGAACACTTTGGAAAAACAGTTGGGGGTTATTTAGTAAAACTGACACACCCTGTGACCCAGCAATTCCACTCAGGACTGCCTGGAAGAAGCTCCTGGGCACCTGCACCAAGACCTGCGTGAGCGTTCACAGCTGCGTTGTTTACGTAGCCCCCAGCTGGGAGCAGCTCTAACAGCTGTCAGTACTGGAGGAGGGGAGTTGTGGCACGTTCACATCTTAGAGCACTGCACAGCCGTGGAAGCGAGCAATGTCTGTGCTGTGGATGAATCACAGTATGGAGCAAATGAAGCAAAACAAAATAGTGTAAAGTTGGAAAGTAAGTTTTTACTTAGGGATTCCTGCCATGGATGGTAAAACTAGAAAGAAAACCAAGGGAATGCTTATTGCAAAAGCCAACTTTATTGCAAAAGACTACTTTTGGGAGAGGAAGGGAGCGTGGTGAGTGGGAGGGTGTGGGGTAGGAGTGCAGTTTCTGTTTCTCGACCTGTGGGGCATAGTACAGACATTGAGTCTGTACTTGTTAAAACTGAGCGAGTGTGGGGCTGTGCCCTTTTCTGTGTATTAGCTACATCTCAGAGTAATAGAAGGAAGAGGGACACCAAAGATAAAGCCTTGGGGATGGAACAATTATGTGGTAGGTCTGGAAGCTGTTGTTAGCAGGGGTGAAGGTTCAGCGCAAGGATGGACCTGGGAAGGGTGAATGATCCACCGTAGTAGAGTCGCCAGGTGCCATAGCAGGTCCCAGCTTGCGCTACAGGCCACTTTGGAAGGGGGCTAGTTTGAAGCCCAGACTGAGGTGAAAATGAGGGTTCTCCCTGGATTTTGAGACCATACTGCTTCTGATGTTTCCCTGGATGGGTCCAGGGTCATCCAGAGTCCCCTCAGCCTCGACCTTTGTGCTGTGATGCCATCACAGGCCTGGTGTGCTTAGGTGGGGGTGTGGTGGGGCCATGGCCTTCCCGCACCTGAGCTCTGATGCTGCCAGACTGTTGCTGGGGCTCTATGAGGTAATGGAGACTCCTCCAGGAAGCCCTTCCCGTGGCTCCCTCCCATGCTGGTTGCTGGATTTGCCTCCCCTGGCTCCGGCACTGGGCCCCTGGTGGAAGCCTGCCAGTTGCACTGTCTGCTCGGTTTCCTTATTTGCCTTTCCCTGGCTCACCCACAGGCTTTGATTCTGACAGGGCTTTCTCGCCTCTCCCTTAGGGCCTAGGCGGTGCCCATGACAGGTTGGCAGTCCACAAACTCTATCTGGGCTTCATATTGCATCCCACACAAGTTCCTGGATCAGTCCTGGGGCAGCAGGGGACATAGAGCATGGGGAATGTATCTTGTGACAGACAGCAGGACAAAGGGACCAGGGTTTGGAATGCTGGAGGAGAAGGCAGACCTGGGTGGTGAGGGGTGGGAGTCAGGTTATGTAAGTGTCAGCCCACCATGCCCAACAAGACATGCCTGGCCACCCTTTAGCCTGGGGGAATAAGTGGGCCTGGAAGTCAGCATTATTGACCCAATCCCTGCCTCCCCCTCTCCACCTGTAAGTGTCAGCCCACCATGCCCAACAAGACATGCCTGGCCACCCTTTAGCCTGCGGGAATAAGTGGGCCTGGAAGTCAGCATTATTGACCCAATCCCTGCCTCCCCCTCTCCACCTCTGCACTCAACCACCAGCCAGAGCTTGACTCCCTCAGGCAGTCTAGTCATGACTGCTCAGATCGGCCTGGAGCTTGGGGTGAACCCAACCCATGCACTCCAGGGTCCTGAAGGGCTCCTGCTGTCCCTGGGAAGAAAGTAGGGGAGGCTACCTGGACAAACAATGCTGAGACACCTTCCCCAGCCTGCGCAGTGGTGTGAAGACTCATAGTAGGCACTTGTTACTGTCAGCCCCTTCCAGGTTGCTCCCTCCCTGCAGGAATCAGGGCTCCCTTTACTGTCACTCCCATCTTTGACTGGTAGCCTTGAAGAGCCAGCCAGGCCCACTTCTGGGCACAGATCCCCCTTTACTCACCATATGATCTGGAGCAAGTTGCTTCATTGCTCTGAGCATCAGTCTCCTCCTCTGTCTGCTAGTGCAGGGTTGCAAAGATGCCACCAGTTAATGAGCCTAAAGCCCTTGACACTGAGGAGCACTCTGCCATGGAGGGGAGCTTTAGTCACTGCTGGACCACAGGGTGCCTTGCTGTAAGGCCTCCTTTCCAGGGTGTGATGTGACAGGAAAAGGGGAGCAGAGCCTGGGAGAGAACATATCCGCCCAGGCAAAGGTTTAAGGAAGAGGGTTCTGGGGGCAGCAAGAAGGCCCTGGAGGGCCTGATCCCAGAGGGAAGGAGATGTCGGGAGCCTACCCTGGTCATCAAGACCCATCAGTCCAGGGACAAGTGACAGGTGCTGTGGACAACCTGGGTTGGGATGCCTAAGCCTCAGCAAAACTGGAGGCTGTGCCCTGTGGCCAGTGGGTCTAGCCACCCTCAAGCTCAGGAATGGCTCGAGCCTTCCTCTGAAAGCTGGATGGTCCAGACAGGATAGAGTCCAGCTCTGAAACATCCTCCCAGGGACAGCCCACGTGCAGGGAGCCCCCCCTGCACAGCAGCCCTCAGGTCCTACCTTGGGTTGAACGTCCCCCCCAAACTTAGTCCCCACTGTGACAGTGTAAAAGAGGGTGGGAAAATCCTACTACGGTAATTGCAGGTGATTAGATTGTAGGACTGTGCTGTACTGAATAGATTAATAATGGTGGTCAGGGGCAAGGTTCTGAGGACTTTAGAAGGAGAGTGAATGAGGAGGTTGGGCTCTGCTCTCTGACCACCCTACTGTTTTCCACCACCAAAGCTCTCACCACATGTGCTCCCTGGACTTTGGACTTCTTAGCCTCAGAAACTGTAAGCAATAAATTTTGTTTTCTTTATAAATCACCCAGTTCCATGTATTTTGTTATAAGCAACAGAAACAGACTAATACACATCCCTATGGAGCAGCCAGAACTCACACACCAGGATGTCACTGGCACATGGGTGCCACTCCAGGCCCCACCACTGACCTTCCCCTCTGACCTCCCATTTCCTCCCTGTAGAAAGAGGTAATATTCACTGCTTCTGCAGAGCCATTATGAGATTGGCAGAACATATGCTGAATCCCTGGTGCAAGGCCTGGCACAAAGCAAGAGCCCAGTGATTGTTAATTTCCCTTCCCCCTCCCTCTTCTCTCAGCAAGACACCACTTCTAGCTGTGTGACCTTCGACAAGTCTCCTGACCTTCCTGATTGACTTTTTTCACCTGCAAAATGAGGATAATGCTTACTAGCTAATGGTGCTTGTGTTAATTGGCCAGTGGGTGAAAGGCTGTTGGAAACTGTTAGGTTATGGTGCAAAAGACTCATTGGCATCAGCACGAAGCAGTGACCCTTTCACCTGCTGGCCCTTGGTGAGTGGGAAACAGGGCCTTGGCTAGTTTTTCAGGTAGCTGTTGGAGGTAAGTGTTGATGCTGAGCTCCCAGCGATGGGAGAGCAGACCTGTGGGAGCCCTAGGAGGCTCCCTGGCCCCTTGGGGCTGCCTCTTTCCCCTGTGTGTAGTCCTGGGCCTCTTACTCTATCCCCTCCCACTTCTCTCAGTTCAAGGTCCCTGCCTGGCCTTGGCCGCACCGAGCCAAGCTTTGGCCAGCTCTCCCACAATCTGGAGTCTGTCCCTTTAAAGCAGACACCTGAGCAACAAACTTGTGACTGTTCCTTTGAATCCCAGGGAGGTGCAGAGCTTGTTTTTCACAGCTGGGCTGAGGGGGATGGGAAGCAGGCTGGCAGCTGCATTGGGCAGTGACCACACTCTGGTTTGGGTGTCCACGTCAGAAATCACCTCCTTTCGTGGCCCTGGCTTTCTGAGAAGCCCCAAATTGGAGGCGGGGGAAGATATGCTGGATGTGTACTTATTTATCACAATAATAGTTACCACTTATTAAGTGCCAAGTGATTGTCAGGTCCTGTAAAACACTACCTCTTCCAAGCCCAGTTAAGACCCTTGAAGGCTCTAAGCACTGACAAGATCTTAGTATCCCAAGGACAATAAGCCACCCCCCTCCCTAGCAACGTGTGATTAAAAGTACAAACTGTGTTGAACTCTAAAAAATTCATGGGGTCCCTATTTTGTTGATCCATCTAGCACATGCCCAGTGTACCTAGCGGTGACCCAGTCTTGAGCCATCAATGTCAGAACAACCTTAGAAGATAAGGGTTGTCACCTTTTTTCAAATGAGCACACTGAGACTCTGGAAGGTCGAGGGACTTGTTCAAAGTCACACAATCAGTAAGATGGCAGAGCCCCTTCCCTCACCTCCCCACTTTCTGGCCAATTCTTATCCATTTTACAGGGAAAGAAACTGAGTCAGTGAGAAGTCAAGTAACTTCTCCAAGGTCGCACAGGTAGGAAACGGTGGCAAGAGTAAGAGCTTGATCATAGCTGCTGTTGGCAGCTCATATTAACAGCTGTCCTGTGAACTGACCCTATGGTGGCACTTGTTGCTGGATATCTTTGCTGTCCTTCCCCCCCTCCCCCAGACTCGGTGTGTCCTAGAGGGCAGGGCAGCATCTAGGCACACAAAGGTCCTCGTGCCTGTGTGCTGCCCCTTACCTCCCAGTACGTGGGGCGTTGGGAAGGCACAGGGGAGCCACAGGCTTCTGGGTGACCTCCAGGCTGCCGCCCCCAGCATCTGTCGCGGGGGCACACTGCAGGTGGAGGGCGGGGCCAGCGGCCCGTGGATCTCGTAAAAGCAGCGCAGGGCTGCAGGCACAGCACTGACAACCATGGCACGTCTGAACCTCAAGCTGGCATTGGGTCTGACCCTGGTTGCACTCTGCCTCCTGGCGCTACCCCGCGACACTGGGGCCTGGACAGGGGAGCGCATGCTAGGAAAACGCCAGGACCTGTCCCCCAGCGACCCGCAGGTGCAAAAGGCGACTCAGGCGGCCGTGGCCAGCTACAACATGGGCAGCAACAGCCTCTACTACTTCCGAGACACGCACATCCTCAAGGCACAGAGCCAGGTGTGGCGGGGCGAGGGCCAGGGTGAGGCGGGCGAGGACAAACAGATGCTGCCTGGGCGCAGGGGGTTCCAGAACCCACAATGAACGGAATATGGAAACTTCAAAGAAAGACAGGATCCAACCGAGTGTTGGGCGACTCGCCTCCACTTGCCTCCCTGAGTCCTGCCCTGACGGGGTGGATTGGGGAGGAGGGTGCCGATGGGGCAGTGGGCAGCCTGCGGTGACAGTGGCAGGTCTGTGCAGGCGCGGGCAGGTGTGCCCACGGGGTCTCAGCCTCCTGAGTGCTGCTGAGCCTTCCGCATCCTGCAGGCTCCAGGCCTCTGCCCCTCTTCCCAGGGATTCCCACCAGGGTGAGGAATGTGCCCCTGGACAATGGGAGAACGTAGAGGGAGGTGATAGGTCAGGATCTGGGATTGACTGTTGGCAGCCCTGACCTGTCCCTTCCGTCATTGTCCCCAGCTGGTGGCTGGCATCAAGTACTACCTGACGGTGGAGATGGGGAGCACGGCCTGCCGGAAGAATGCTGGAGACCGCATCAACCTCACCACCTGCCCCCTGGCTGCTGGGGCACAGGAGGAGGTAACAGCCCTGTCCCCTGATCCCCGAACCCCACAGAGGCCGCAGCCCTCAGCTGTGTGGACTGAACGGGTCTGGCTGGCCAGGCGGACGCTGGCCGAACCTGTCTGCCTTCTGGATGACTCAGCCACCACACCTGCAGGAAGGAGGAGGCTGGGGCTTCCCTGGGCAGTGAAGGACTGGCTGGCGGGATCTGGAATCTAGCCCCGGCCCCCTGACTCGATGTCCCTCAGGCCAGTGCCTGCCCTTCTCTCGCCCCAGGGCGTCCGGGCAGGCCGGGCACTGGCTGTTGGCAGGAGGCTGGCCAGCCAGCTCACCCGTCCTTCTCCCCCGTGCTGTCTCCACAGAAGCTGCGCTGCGACTTTGAGATGCTGGTGGTTCCCTGGCAGAACTCCACTCAGCTGCTAAAGCACCACTGCGTGCAGCTGTAACAGGCCCCCAGGGCGGCGCGGGCGCGGCGGGGGCAGGACTGGCGGCCCTTGGGCCACATCCCTTGCAATAAATCGCCAGCTCTGCTCTTGCATAGGTGCCTTGTGAGTGCTTCACTCCCCCTGCCCCCACTCCCACTCAGCTGACAGGGCACCCACACCACCCCCAGCCGAGCCTCTGCCCTCCCAGCCCGGATAGCGCTGCAGGTACAGGGTTCAGCCCCCAATCCTAGAGTCCCCCAAACACCCCAGCATCACGGACATAGAGAATCAAATCACCAGAGTCCCCAGTCGCAGCCAGAGGCTCCCAGTATTCTCAGAGATAAGAGGCAGGAGAAAAAGCCACACAAGAGACTAGACCAGGGCCCGTGTCTGTGAATACTTTGGGAGGCACCTGTGCTCTGTCCCTCTCAGCACCCAGAAGGGGTTCAGGGTAGCCCGGGGTGGGTTCAGCCAGGCAGGCCCCAGCACACTGAGCCGCCGACCTCTGAAGATCCCTGTCCTTGCATGTGGC